GATTGCGCCCGTTGCTTGGGGGCCTCGACACAGCACTACTGTGATCTGGCGCCTTGCTTTCTCCTTGGAGTTCAGCATGCTTGCTGCCATATTCTCTTGTGGCAACCATGGAGAGAGCCGAGGAGTGTCTTGTAGGGGGGGGGGGGGGCAGGGGGGATATTTTACGATTAGAACATCAACGATGTATTAGTTAATTTTGTACGGGAGGAGAACCAGGAGGGCGACACGGAAACATGCCGGGGGCAGGAAAAGCTGCTGGCTTGGAAGCTGCCGGAGTTGGGCATCAAGCTGCATGCATCGATGAGCTGAAATCTCGGGCACGGCCAGTCGATCTGTCATCTGCGCTCTGATGGCTACAGGGCTTTGAGCGAGGGCTTGATCAGCAAACGATATCAGACTGCCATCTGCAGATCAAAGGTTCTGTGTTGACGACCGTTCTGTTTGTGTTGGCATTGAAACGATGACGTGTCTGCTCTTTAGCAGCAATGAGCGAGCATGTGCCGACCTTTGGGACTCTGGTGGTCGATATGTATCATCTGAACATGCTCTCGAGTACCAGAATCAAGTGTTCCACCCTACGAACCCACCCGTGGAGGGCACGGCCACTGGAATCAGAGCTGAAAGGCGTCTGCGATGACTTGAGATATGCAAGAAGTGTATCGTGACGATGGTGGTAAAGTGCATACCCTGCATCGTATATGCACATCCGGTCTGAGCATCCTTTCGACATGCTGTACGGCGAGTTATGCTCGTCCACACGTAGCTGACAGCTTGCCTTGAGGATGGATAGACTGGACAGTACAGGCCATACAAGTCCAGACCGACCAAGCGACTCTTACACGTCTCCGCTCTGCCATGGCCAGCTCGTTGTTGCTAACTGTAGGACGAAGGGTTCAGGTGGAGAGGTTTCTCTCTCCTTTTGACGCCCTCCCTCCTTGTATCACTCCATCCCTTATTTCCACTCTTGCTTCTTGTCCTGTAGGTTGCCATCGTCTGGCTGGTATACTCCGCCCTACCCCACTTTGATTCTCACTGCCGTTTGCTGTCCCTCTCCACTGTCATCGTCTTTCATCCTTGATCCATCTTCCCTGCTGTGAGACATCCTCTCGTTTCTCCTCGTTTGCCGCCCCGCCCGCTCTCTATCCTCCTCTTACAGTCTTGCAACCCGGTATGGCCCTATACCCATCTATGCCGGCTGTGTGCAAGCTACCTCTCTCTTCGTATGCTCGGGTATCGTGAGACCTCAATAGTCAAGGCGGTCACTCGGCGAGTCAGCCTGCTCATCTCTTGCCGTCCTTGTAGTGTTCTGTGTTCGAGGGTTTATATATGGGCATCCATGCGCTGGCAGTACATCGCTTGGCATCGGTCGCAGCCTTCCGTAGCGGTTGCTTCGGCCTTGTTATCGAGCTCCCACAATCACACAGGCCCTCAGCAACCAGAGAGCAGTACGGTATGGCAGCAACCCGCGAATGCGATGCTGAGCAGCAAGCTGCAGCAAACAGCGAGGCGCCTCCTGCTCTAAGCGGCGTTGGATCCGCTGCGCTGAAACGACCCGCACCCACCCCTTTACAAAGCCTCGAAGTCATTGTTGCTCAAGTCAAACCCTCGCGCTGCAGCCTCGCAGTGAGCTGGTCGCTGGTCTCGAGCGCTGTCGTCCGCCTTCCAACACACCGTCTGCCTGCTCCAGGCTGTCTCAGGCTTACCCTCGTCACGGCACGCATCCTTACCTACCCTCACCCTAGTCGCACCCACCGCAGCTGATCCCTTCTGCAGATCATGGTCTCGATAGGCCCTGTCTCTCGGCCTCGCGCCCTAGTCTCTAGTCTCCTGTCTCGCTGTCTCCTTCGCATGCTCAGCAACCTGGCAGCATCCCGGGCTTTTCTGTCCACCTCTCGTGTGGCGTTCCCTGCCATGCTTGGTCCAAATGCGTGCGCATTTGTGCGGGACCCCAGCCCTGCCTTTCTAGCAGTTCACAGGCGAATACCACCCTAGCCGCTCTCCGCGTCCGTCCGTCCGTCCCTTCCTCCTCGCCTTCTCTTGCTTTCTGCCTTATCCGCTTTGCTTCTCATCTGACCTGTCGTCCCTTCTCATCTTGCTCCCGTCCGCCATGCTCTTGAGCCAACGCCCAGCACTTCCATCCGATCGTTGAGTCTATTCTTGACCATCACTGTTGTCTCATCTAAGACTCCGCTTGCTTTGTCGTCCAGCTTAGCCATCCCTCGCCCTCGCCCTAAGCTCTTCTCTGCTTGCCGAGCGTGGCCCCCTCAAGCTTCAGGCGATCTCCTTTGCCGGGCTGGCTAGTCGACCCCTCTCGGTGATCCTTCCCGCCGTATCACCTCGTCGTCCGTGCCGACTTTGCAGCCAGCATGAAGTACTCCCCTGACCACGACTGCTTCCGTACTCGAGGAGTGCTCTCCCGCGACACCATCGTCGAGATCTACAAGCTCCGCACAAACGATAAGAAAATCAAGACCGCCGCAAGCGCCTCGGTAGGCCCCAAGCACGGCGTTACGGCCAAGGCCATCAGAGACATCTGGAACCGGCGGACATGGTGGAACGTGACGGAGGCGCTATGGACGGAGGAGGAGCGGGAGGACTACGCGAGGAGGCGGAAGCCATGCGGGAAGGCGGGGAGGCCTCGAGGGTCCAAGGACTCGAAGAAGCGGAGAGCAAAGATCGGGGCAGGTCAGATAAGCATGGCAGCCAGTAGAGTAGACGAGCAAGCCCGAGACAGGACTGACCGGCCCAGTGACAGCCATCAAGCTGGCAGGCAGGAGCTCTGCGTACGGCAAGGTGCATCGTCGTCGTCAGAAGGCGACGAGCGGGAGGACGAGGACGAGAGCGAAGAGGACGCGGAAGGCGAAGACAAGAAGAGCACAAGTCGTGGGGATGACGACGAGGCTCGGGCATCGATAGGCATTGCATACAGCAGCTGGAGCGAGGGAGCGGGGCTGCCCCGACCCATCCACATGTCAAGGGAGGAGCTTTGGGGCGAGGCTCTGCGGCACGTCATGCGATGACAACCACAGCGGAGAGCAGCGGCCAGTCCGTAGCAGCAGCCCCAGGGGCCATTCCACTGTCGCAGTCGCCTGCACCTGCATCCTTCTTACCCCCGGACAGCACCGAGCTCGCAGTGTGTACAGGGAGCAGTTTGTTGCGAGTGATGTATATACATGCAGACTCCTGCATCTCACGCCTGCCTTGGCCTATTGGCGTACGTCTCATGTCCCCGCCTCGAGCAGGCGCCTCGTCTGTAGGATCTGTCTTGAAGCTGAGAATGGCACAAGCACACTCACGCAGCTGCAGAGGCTGACGGGACCGGCTGTGTCCAGCCTTCACCAGGCCTGGGGTAAAAGGACTCAAGATCACAGAAATCCTTAGGCCTGGAGCTTGTGCTATCGTCCCCTTGCCCCTAGACCAGCTCGATCTGCGGTTCGCCTCCTGAACGCCTTACACCGCACGGGAAGCTGTGCACGCGTGCCAAGACTCTCGTCCTGATGGCTCGCATACAGATACTCTCACCTATCTCCAGCCTCTCCGTCCGTGACTCCAGGTCCGGCCAAGCCTTACCGGCATCGACAAAGAAGAGGAATCAATAGGCTGATGATGATCTTACTGGTGCTACCAGCCAGGAGAAAGCGCCTTCCTGCGGCGCCTGTTGATCCATCCCGGTCGGCATTCCCTGATCCGTCTGGACTTTGGTCGTGGACAGGTGCGGGATCGTAGGATCGCAGGACCGCGGGCCTGGGCCTCGCAGCCTGCGTAAAGTCGCCTTTTCTAGCATGGGCCGTAGCCAAAGATGCGGCCTGCTGGGTTTGCTCTGATCATCGACACTGATCTAACGACGCACTTGCTCGGCCCAGCCTATTTTCTCTTGATCGCTCCGTATCAAATAGGATGCTTTCTACTCGCCCCCCTTCTTCTGTCAGTCCATGGTTTGGAGCAAATGTCTCGCAGCTCACCCCGTCGGATCTCATCCGCTGCCTCTCTGCGACCATGCCCTGCTTGTTCATGCCATGCCCTGATCTCCTCGACTCCGACGCCTTCCTGTGCATCCCGCCATCAAGCTGGAAGCCAGGAGCTCTGCGTACGGCAAGGTGCATCGTCAGGATCTCTGGTTGCCAAGCTCATCCAGCAGTGAGCCTGGGACAAGTTCTCAGCCTCCCTTTCCCTCTCTATCACCCTCCCTCCCTCCCTCCCTCCCTCCTTGTGAACCCTTTCAACCTTGCTTGTGCTGTCGCTGCAAACAGATGTCATCTTGCTTTGCACTGCCTATCCATCCGGCTACCTCTCCTCATCCGCAGCTTCCCCACTGACTCCCTTGCTCCTCAAGTGTGTCTCCACTAAGCTCCTGCTCTTGATATGCCCTGGTACTCACTCTTCTTCCTGGATGTATCTCCATCGTTCGATCAACATGGCTGCCTCTGTACATAACTGCTGCTGTATGTTTTGCCTCCGCAGCTGTATGTTTGGCCTCAGCAGCTGTATGGTTTGCTTTCATGTCCTATATCAGCATAAGCCTATCCTTCCTGTACCGTAGACCCTATCCTTCCTGTGACAGGCATCAGTGTGCCTTCCCGTGACATCTCTGCTGTTTTGAGTACGCCCATCATCATCTCACAGACCGCGCTTGGTCTCAGACTCGTCCCGAGCCTCTCCCTCTCTCCTCCAAGCCTCCCTCCCTTCCTCTTCCCTCTGAGTGCCCTCGCCTTCATGTCTGTTCTCAGGCTCCACGATTTCGCTCGGTTTTAAAAAACAATCGGCTTTT